AATCACCTATTGATAAACTTCTCCACCATCACCATAACTGCCTTCCCTGCCCTCTTCTCTAGCTGCCTAATCCATGCTAGCAAAGAAATGACAAATGAGAATATTTTTTTGAAACAGAGTCTCGCTCTGTCACCCAGGCTGGAGTGCAATGGCACGATCTTGGCTCACAGCAACCTCCACCTCCCAGGCTCAAGTGATTCTTGTGCCTCAGCCTCCTGAGTAGCTGGGACTACAGGTGTGCACCATCACACCTGGCTAATTTTTGTGTTTTTAGTAGAGATGGAGTTTCACCATGTTGGCCAGGCTGGTCTTGAACTCTTGGCCTCAAGTGATCCACCTGTCTCGGACTCCCCAAGTGCTGGGATTATAGGCATGAGCCACGGTGCCCTGCCAGAAATGACAACTGCATTAACTAAACTAACAACTAGTATTGTGGTACTGGAAAGTCTTTAGTTCATTCCAGCTCCTGCTTTTTACAAATGAAGACATGAAGTCCAGAGATGTTGCCCAGCTTGAATCAAAACTCACACAACTAATTAGGGGTGATGCTTGTATTAGATCTTGGGTCTGTACATTTTTAGTTCAGGCAGTGGTCTGGAGAAATCTGCAAAGCAGAAAATTAGTCCACCCTCTCATTTGGCTCGTGTTTGACTCCACCAAGGGAAAAAGTAACAGTGCTCTTCCTAGGTGGGGGGTTTACCTTGCTGTAAATTTCTATTTTTAGCCTCTATAGAAGGCCTACTCCCTGCAGATTCACTCCGGCTAACAGACTGCTGTGGGATTTAAGGCACTCTCCATGGTGTTTCTTGGTGGTTGCCATGCCAACGAAATTTAATAGAAACACAGTTTTCTAGTTGAATATTCTGGTGAAGGCTTTAAAGCCAGATTAACAGCTTCAACTCTGAAGCTTAAATGATGCAAATGATTTGTACTGGCACATAGTAGGCATACGATAATACTTGTTGAAATTCAGAATGAATACATATATGCAATTAGTTGCATGAGGCAGCTGGAAAACCTAACAGCTGAGAACCGAGCTATTTCTTAAAGTCAATACTTAAAAGTCAGGGTGGAGTGGTGGAGTAAGTTTATCATATACTCCTTGGGAAGTGGTGTAGCTCTGGGTTTTCCTAATTACCTAACACTTGGTGTGAGAAATGATTTGTGTAATTCCAAAGGACTGTGTCTGATCTTTGGGCCACTTACTAGCTCTGCAACCCAGGGGGTTCCCTCTGCACACAGATGTTTGCTGCAGACATGGAAAAAGTAGCAGGAATCTGACCTTGGGTTCCTTTTGCAGTCCTTTTATCTGGGGCAAGTATTCAAATCTTAAAGAGTCTGTGTTCAGTCCCCATAAGACTGTTTTTTGGCAAATGTAATCAACATATTTAATAAATGGATCAAAAAAATTTAAACAGCCTCTCTGGTTCAAATCTTTCAAACCTGTGTTTGAAAAGCAGCCCTTCTGGCCACAATGAGTGAGTGAACGTTATTTAATAAACGGCGAGGAAAGGGAGCTCAAAAATCTCCCTTCAATTCCTAGGTCTTTCCGCTGGGATTCTCTAACCACCCCAGCCTGAAGGGCTCTTCTCTTCTCATTGAAATTTATATTCTATATTAATCATTTGGCCTTCCTCCCCTCCTTCTTCTCTTCCTTTCTGCCTCTTTCTCTCTCTTTTCCTACCTATTCTTCCCTTCACCCCATCTTCTTTTCCTCTCCACCACCCTTCCTTCCACAGCCATGATGGAAAGTGACCAGGCTTTTGGAGTGAGAATTAGCTTCAAATTCTTACTACCTCTCATGCTTCTTAGCAGCATGACCTTCGGCTGTCATCACATCTCCAGCAGCATTCTGTCTTGTGCACAAAGGGCTGCCAATGTCTGCCTCCTTGGTTATTGTAACAAAGGAGTGTTTCTCAAACTTTAGTGGTCATGAGAGTTACCTGGGGAGACAGGTGAAAACGCAGATCTTCAAGATCCACAACAGCAGATTCCAATTTATTAGGTCAAGGTTTCAGACATCTGCATTTTGACCAGATCCACAGGCTCCCCAGTCCCACATTGAGAAACATTGGATATGTGCATAAAAGTTTAGTATAGTAAGATCCATTGTAATTACTCCAAAGGTGAGAGCTATGATCATTAATAATTCAGCAAACATTTATTGAACATCTGCTATGTGCCAGGCATGATGTCAGGTGCTATAGACACTTCCCATTTAATTCCTTTTACTATGTATTTAACTTGTTCTATATATATATATGCCTTGTTCCCATCCCACTAGTTTTAAGTGCCTGGAAGTCAGGGTAAAACAGCATAATGTGGCATAGAAAAACATCAGTGTTAGAAGACATGAACTCTAATCCTGATTTTATTATTTATTACCTATGTGACTTCAGGCAAGTCACTTTACTTCTCAGAACTTTATTTTCTTCATCAAAAACTGGAAAGTCAAGACATACAGTGGTTAAAAGCCTAGTGTTTGCCATCCTGGCTCTAATGCTTTCTAGATTTGTGATCTTGAGAAAATTACTTAACTTTTTTGGGCCTGTTTCCTCCTATGTAGAAAGGGGACTTACTTGTTCAATATTCATTCTTTTAACAGATATTTTTTTAGCCCTTTGATCAGCACTGTGCTAAGTCCCGGGAATATATTGGAGAGTAAGACAAACAGGATCCCTGACTCACATAGTCTACAATTTAACAGTGGTTGTAAGTATTAAGCAGACAACACCACCCATAACCCAGCACATAGAATTATGACAAATCCTGTTGTGATAAATTTTCCTAATAGGAGCTAACCTTGTCCAGGAATGTCAGAGAAGACCTTCTCAGAGACAGAATACTTAGGATGAGCTCTGAGGGATGAGTAGGCATCACCAGATAAAGAGTCTTCAGAGATGGGAAGAAGCAGGACTCTTAAGTAAAGGGATGCCAGTGTGGCTAGAACTGAGTGCACAAGGTCCCCCCCTACCTCATAGGTGTTCAAAGATTCAGTGAGGTAATTGTTTGTGTATACAAGTGACACTCTGAGACCCACTTAAGGCCCTAAATGCATGTTCACCAAAGTTGAATTTCCCACAATACTCAGCTTTAGGCTCTGTACAGAATAACCTCTCCATAATGATTTGACAATATTTATGATATTATTAAGGTGAGAAAAGGACTTTGAAAATCTTCATCCTCTCATTTAACAGGGGAGGAACTTAGGACCATAAAAGAAGTAGCAGCTGTCTGAGAAATGGGAGGAGCTGGCCTGGTGCAGTGGCTCACTCCTGTAATCTCAGCACTTTGGGAGGCCGAGGT